GGCTGCTCAGCGTGGTCACTGGGCTGGTACGGCTTGAGTGCATAATAAAAGGAGAACAGACCCTTCTCTGAAAACCAGGGATCTTTTTATTACCTTACTGCAATTAACCAAGTGTTCCTTTAGAAATACCTTTGCTTCCGAATCTTTTTAGCTAGTAATTTAGGGAAAATAATTAATTCCTGATAACTTTAACAGTAAATACTAGTTCCCTACGACAAAATCCATATTATTGCTAGTAAGCACATAAACTGTTTTTGTTTCGTTCCGCTTGAGGCCTTGCATAGCTATTGCATGATTAAACAGAATATTTAAAGCCTGGCTGGCCCACACCTGAGTCTGAAAGAACTCAGCACTTGGGGGCTTGCCCTTATATTTCTTTTCTCTGTCTGGGTTGTGTTTATTTTCCTAGAGTATCGGAGTACAGGTTTTACAAATCACGGCACAGTCCTAAGCCTACCGGAGGCCCGGGCTGCGGCAGCGCGAGGCACAGCGTTGCCCTTATTCGACATGGCATTTTAACTAGGATTCTGCAAAAGCAACAGCGAAGGGCCATTAAAAAACAAATCGCCCAATAAGCAGATGCCTTTGCTGAGGCAATGCAGATTCAATTTGAACCCTGCTTGCTGCCCGTAAATCAGGAATCCTGTCTGTTCACATTTGGATACTGGTATATTTGCTTTTTTATTTTTTTTCCCTTTCCCTCCCGGCACTCGCAGAAGTTGCTCGCGTATCCGATTACGTTCCCGTTCCGACGCAGAGCTGCTGCATCAGTGGTTCGATCGGAAAGGAGGAAAGCTGTTGTTTTTCTAAAACGCAACCGGTGAGGATTGGCCTCTCTCAGCCGGGAAAAGCCACGGGCGTAATGGCAGGAATGTGGTCGGCGCGAGGAGCCCGGCGGCAGGGCTTGCGGGGACCGCGAAGTGGGAGTTAAGTGAGGTTTCATGCTCCATCACCGCTGTGGCACCGTCTGAGCTATAGGCAACCGGTGACTTTCAGCACTGAAATAACAGCACTCAAAAGCAGGTCTTGTGAAAGCTTTTCCTTTTTTTTTTTCACTCCTGTTCCTCTCCCCCCCCCTCCCCCGGGCCCTCAGCAACGTTCTGCAGCGGCCCCACATTGTCCCTAGCCTTCCTTTTGCTGCTGATGTAGTGGAAGAAGTCCTTCTTGTTGTTTTTGACATCCCTTGCCAGCTTCAATTCCAGGTGAGCCTTGGCCTTCCTCGTCGCATCCCTGCATGCTCTCACCACGTTTCTGTACTCTTCCCAAGTGGCCTGTCCCTCTTTCCACATTCCATGGACCTTTCTCTTCTGCCTGATCTCCGCTAGAAGCTCCTTGTTTAACCATGCAGGTCTCCTGCCTCCTTTGCTAAATTTCTTTCTCAAGGGGATGCATTGCTCCTGTGCATGGAAGAAGTGTTGTTTAAAAAGCGACCAGCACTCATGGACCCCCCTGCCTTCGAGAGCCCTGGCCCACGGGATTCCTCCCAGTAGCTCCTTGAAGAGGCCAAAGTCATTTTTTTTTCCCCTCCTGTCCCCCCCCCCCCCCCTCCCCGTGCACTTCAGCAACGTTCTGCTTCAATTTCTCGTCATTTTGGGGGTTGTAGACAGCAGATTTAAAGGCTTCAGAGCTGGCTTACCTGGAAGTTAGTGGGGGGACCCATCTCCACTGGCAGGCAGGGACTGGTTTCAGGGACCTCAGGGTAAACTGGGTCTTCTGGGAGGACCTGGGCAGAAAGCACCTGCGGCTCTCATATGGAGGATCAGGATGGTACCAGCTGGGCCATCCTTAATTCCCCAGTTCGGGACTTGCAGGCAGTGGGCTGCACGCTGCCCTTGTGCAGAGTCAGGGAGAAGGCAGAAATCCATGCTCATCACAGCCTTGTCCTGGGCTCTGGATATGAAGCTGCGCAGCATCTGCCTCAAAGACCAGGGTCCCTTCTCCAAGACCATCATCAGCTGCAGGACAGGTTTGAAAAGGAAACTGCATAGCTGTTACTAGACAGAATCTATGCCAGTGCCCTGCCAGGGGCTGGCTGTGTTTTACTGGGACCAGCGGCACTCTGAAGCACGCACCAGTTTGTAGCTGGCACGCATCGGTGTGAGAGCGCGGCATGCAAAGTTCATGCTTGCCTGGAAAAGATCGTTTAGAAACAGCCCAAGTAAAGGGTTTAGAGGGTGAATTATGTCTTCAGCCCACTGTAACGTGGAACGAAAGCTACAAGCCTCAGCAGATGAGGTGGTGGAGCTGGGAATTCTGCTGCCGTGAACACAAGGGTGGCTGCAGCCTGCTGTATTTTATACAAATTGGTTGCATCCTTCAGGCGACTGGCGAGTTGCCATCGCGAACCTCCATTAGGTAAAGCTTGTGTCCTTCCTATTAAAGTACTCTTTTAACTTCCCCCCCCCGCCTCCCCTTTACAATTTAGTTGCCCTACTGGCATGACTTGTTCAGTTTTTAGTGGGTTTTTTTTGTTTTAGAAATGTGACTCTTGGGTGGGCGGGGGAGGAGAGATGGCTTTAGAGGTTCTTCAGGCCAAAATCTGGTCTCAGTTACCCTTGTGTCCATTTGGGTTTAACTCCATTGGATGCGACTTCATTGACTGAACGGGACAATCCAGATCAAGCACTGGGCTTTTGAAGATGCCTGAGAAATAGTCAAAGAAGAGAGGGAGGTTGCGTTGTTGTTGTTGCTGTTTTGCTGGGAGTGGTGGCGTTACAACAATAGTTGGGTGTTACTCATGCAGAAAGTCATCTTGGCTTCGTTAAGAGAAGAAGTGAGGAGATTTGCTTGAAGTGTTTACCAAAGATAGCTCCAGACAGCTTGTTTTTTAGTATTGGCAGTAGCACTAACGCAAGCAGCAGCAACCGGTGCTCGAGCTGATGGCTGGATTTCAATGACTGGCTTTGCGAAGTGGGTGCATGTGTGTGACGTCAGGGTGCTACGGACGGTGCGCTGAGGAGCTGCGAGCCTGTGAGCGTGCTCTGATCGTCTGCCTCAGCTTGGGAAATGGGAAATTGATTTTTTTTCTGTAGTAAATCTCCATGCTTCATAATCCGGTGCCAATGCAGTGGAAAAACTCAATGTTCAGGGCTGTTTATGGGCTTTTTCTTCTCTCCGTTGACACTTCAGAACATTTCCATTGAAGGAAGAGAAGTCGCGTTGCTGGAGAGCCAATGTCATCGATGGGAGAACAGATTACTGGCATTTATTTTCATTCTTTCTTTTTATTTTTAGTTTTATACAGTGCATCCAATCTTAAACTGATTTTTAAAACCACTTACTGTCCATTAAGCATCAATGTCCATTGACCATTGATGCAGTCAGTCACAGACCGCAGGGGTCAAGAACCATGCGTATCTCCCACTGACTGTAAATGTGGCAGTAAAACATAGACACAAAATAATTTCCAATACTCAATATTTCTTCCTTGGGTGAGATTTACCTGGAAGTGCCAACAGGATGGAGCTGTTTGTGCATGAGTTTAGACCTCGCCTGATGACTTGTTTCGACCAAGCTGTGCCCAGGGTTTCTTAGCATATGCACGATATGCCCCGTTGGGAACGAATATGTTGAAAGCTGTAGTTTTCTTCACACCTACGTAGAAATGTTTACAAAAGGAGGACTGCTCTTAGCAATTAGTCCAAAACATTGAAGTAGCAGACTAAGGAAAACCGCTCACAAATCCACTCGTAGCTTCATTCCTG